AGAGTAGATACATGTACATTTTGAATGGATTAGCACTCACACTTCAGGAACGCTTATCAAAGCAAATTGTTGTGACACTGTACTTTCTTTCTTGTCGATGTCTCATCTCAAACTGAACCCCCTAGTTAACACATTCACAAACTACTAATGATATACACTGTTAAATATTCTCCTCACCATATTTTTCATTTATTAATTTTTGGGGAAAGCCTAATTTTTGAAATACTTATTGAGAACAGCACAAACAATTCCATCTTAAAGCCCTTACAAATGAAAGCATGTTAACAGTTACAAATGATGAAAAGAATCAATGGCTACCAAGACTGTTCCTGGCCAATGAAATTGATTAACTCTTTATTAATCAGTCATTTTCCATAGCAAATAATGGCATACAATTGAGCTGGTTTCAAAATAAAGGTTTCAACCACACATAAATCAAACTCCTGTTGAATACACAATGATGTTCATGAGGATACATCAGTTCCTAGAACAAAAAGGCCACAATTATTTTTAAAGGATTATTGAATAACACCAGAGGCATAAGGGGAATAGATTTCTGTTTCTTCAAATCCTTATTGTGTTTTCTTTGTGAAATGGATTTTGGAATTCCTAGGAATAAGGTGAGAATTTTTATGGTAAATGTGGACTGGGAATTCCTTGGAATTCCCAACTGTAACAACTCTGGTTCTAAAAACCTAGAAATTCCCAGAAATTCAAAGTTAATAACCAACAGGACTTGGAATTCCTTGGAATTCCAACTCAGAGCACCAATGACTTTCCCTGAAAGGCTGTGGATCTAAAAACTCGCCAGAAACTTCTAGGAATGTTTGAGAATTAATGGGAATTTTAAGCAAAAATTTAAGGCAACTGACATGAAATAAATGCTAAAAATTAAAAAATCCCGACTAAAAATTCAAGTATTCAATGAAATTTATTTACATGCTTAACTCAGGTTTGCATGAAAAATATTTCTGATTGTAAATTAACATCAACTTGTAACATTAGAATGGAATTTGATTTCTTTTTCTTTTCTTGAAAACTTCAAAAGAATTATCCTCAATTACAGCTATTCATATAAAATAGTTCTAATCAATCATTAAATTTGGTTTGACACAAATTGTGAACAAAATCTGTTGATTCTTTTCCATAAAATACAATAACTTGAATTATATTTATTGCAATAAATACTATCAGTCAAAAAAATAGTCTTTAAATGAATCTTTTAATTTGGGATCATGATACCAATGGTATTTAACCCTTTTGCTTCCAGAGTCAGGCTTTAACTTGATTTTATGTGGTTGTAACTTATTTAGATAAAGCTCTTGTGTGTGAACATTTAAATATCAGCTGTCAAGCAGCACTTTCATGTTTTACTATTTGTTTTTGTTGATTCTGCACATTGAAATTCAAAGATTTCTTCTCAATTTTGACTTAGCACTCTTGGGAGTGAAGGGGTTAATTACAGTTATATAAAATTGATTTTTGAAGTAAAATCTTGCTGTAACTGTAACAATAAATTAGAATGAAATTATCCTAAACTGCCGATTTAGCTGCTGTTTTTCTTTTTTTCTTGGGCTCGCAGCTTTCTCTGTTGGCCTCGAATGAGGTTGTCTACAAGAAGCCTGTCTATTTTGTATCTGGATTCCATGACATCTGAATTTGAAAAAAAATATATCTATATGTATTATGAGCTCAAAAAGGCCTTACATAGCTGTAAGGAGAAGGGCATTCATTGGAATCCTAATTTATCAAAGTGCACTGCGATTGGGAAATTTCTGTTATATTGAATGACTTCTATATTGGAGTTAGTACATCTCTTCCATAGATTTTACTAAAAAAGAGCTGAATACATTATTTTGTTTTTATCAAGGAAAGATCCTTGGAAAGGTTTATTTAATCAAAGTTTTTATTACGAATCTAGAATGTTTCTAAACGTGACTAAAGTTATCTTGAAACCTTACTGATGATTTATTTCATTGTTAAGAGTAACTGCGGTATACAAGTGACCGATTCGATTCTCAGAATTATTCGAGTTTCAGTTGCGCCAAGCGTTATGTAAGCTTAATTCTAGCCGTTATATCTATTCTTTGGTAAGATTCTGCTCACGTAACGAATATCGCAATTTTACTCACCACAAACTTTCAAAATCGTAGCTTTATAAATGGCCACGCGACCCCTGATTGTACCAGTCGGTATGTCAACTGTTGTCCCTTCTTTTAACTCCACGGCGCCAACGATTTTCTCTTCATTTAAAACACTCACGCTGTTCTCGTTTTCCCGTTGAACCACAATAAAACCTATCTTTAGAATTGCTATATTAAGAAAAACAGTTGAGAAAAGAATTAACTTGACGCACAAGCGATCAATCGTTGAAAAGTACATTCAAAGATGAGCGCTAAATGGCGTCATCTTTGTTTCCGATCACGGGCGTGATCACGTGGATGTTTCGGGAATTGTCATTGGCTAGCAAAGAGAATCCGCTGGCTTGCCCGATTGCAGTCTCAAGAAAAGCGCTCAAGTTTATTATGACTACTTTGACCAGTTCTTTGCTTTTGGACGATGGATACCTTAGTTTTTTGTTCTGACGATGATATAAATAATGATGTGAGCTCACTCGATGTAGAAATAATCGAAAAGAATCGATCGTACTACAAATGCACGATTTGTGGCCGAAAGTTGTCGAGGAAACAGACTCAACTGAAACCCTCTTGAGTTGTGTGCATGGCAAAGGTGAGAAATAACACAAGCCAATCATAATTTTGAATGCGATTACAAATCGTGTTTAACCCTCATTTTTATAAAATAACGATGCCACATTAGGAAGTATAAAAGATACCTAGATGATCCCAGTGTACCAGTGCCAAAATCAACAAAGCTTGACCGATCGGCTAATAGAAACGCAACAGATCATTGTAAGAGAAGGACTGAACGGTGTTTCTTACATGAGTTTTGTACCAGAGATTACGAGGTTTTGAAGAGTGTGCTTTAGTATTCGAATTAGAGAGCGACTTTATGTAAGTAATGTGCAACGGCGCCTCAGCTGAGATTCGTGGGTTAAGGCGTAAAAAATTGCCCAGTGTCGGCTGAAAGATACTTTATTACATCATACTGTATTTGATTACTAGGTAATTCCCACAAACCACTTTGACAACGAAATGTCTTCAGAATATATCATTACATCCAATGTGACATGTGGTGCAGCCATCAGAAGTTTATTTCTTTGAAAAAATGTTCAAGGAGAACCTTCGCTAAGTTGGAGTGTAGGTTGCCGTTGACTTTGATTTGTTATTCAAGCGGCAATATTCAGACCAAGTACAACATTTCCAAAACATATAGCATTGTTCTGACTTTCTACAACTAATTTACTGGGACTAGTGAAAGATCCAGAGTCACCTCTCTGGTGTAGGAGTGAATGGATGGTAAAGCACACAGTACCATGTGTGTTGAATGACCTTTCAAGCTGGGAGAGGCTGGAAAGCTCATGCCAAAAAAAGTTGACTTGTATATAGTTTAATCTCTAATAAACAAAATGGATTATTGGGCTATAATAATAGTACAAGGATTTCTGCAACCTTTTTGATGAAGGTACTCATTCATGTTTTTGCAAAGAAGAGATTTACCTTTGCAATGAGTCATAGTGACGTGTGGCTACCTGTGCTCACCTACTCCCTTTCAAACATGTAATAATCATGTGTGGCAATAATATGTTGAAGATTGACGTAAAGAAAACCTTGGAAAATGGTGGGGAAATGGGATTATGGTAGAAAGTGCAATCACCATAAGTCATTCAACTAGGCTTGTTTCTTTTTTTGTATGCTTGTCTTTCAAATTGCAAATTTTTTCTTAAATTGTTTATTTTTTTATTATTATCATTATTTTGAATTAACTTCTGTCATTAGATAATACATCAGCGATATGGCTCAATTGTAACTTATCTCGTGACCAGAGAGTCTTTTTTTTTTTTTTTTAGCACACTTGATGTCTTCATTAGACATGATTGTAATGCATCAATTCCAGTCAAATTCAATTATTTGACAATATTTTGTTCCTTAGTTTTGAGCATCACTTTCTTGCATTTCACTTTTCGGGGGCAGCTTGGTTCCTGCAGTTCAAAAAAAAAATTCTATGATCTGAGTTCTTGTCAAAGATGAACTTGGGCATTACGGCTGAGTATATGTTTACATTAGTCAAATTCTTCAACTTGTCATTAATTCCATCCCATTTGGTGGGGCTGAGAATGCCTGCAAAAATCCAGTAACAAATGCTTTTAAATTCTGGAGTAGGATTTCCTTGATGTAAGTAAGTCATGCACAGAATTGGTCAAAGATGTAGAGTTTCAGCTCTAACCTAAGTTACTTTCAATTCTTGTTGCACCCTTTGTTTCAGTGACTGGAAGCTAGCGAATACCACCCTTTTTTTCGAGAATAAAAAGCCTTGCATCAGGCACCAAAATGACAGGGCATGAGCTTCATCAGTTCTTTCATTTCAACATGCCACCATACTTAGTTATTCTTCTCCTTTCGATAAACATTGCTGTTATTGTGAACAAATGCAATAACTGGTCGTTTTTTGCTGCTTTGGGGGCAATAACAATTAAGTCAGTCAAAGAAATTAGCCTGCAGAAAACATGTGTTACGTTGGGTAGTATTTAGTCATGTTAGCTCTTTGTATCAATTTAGGACCACGCCTAGTTAAACTTCATAACAAGCTCGCTCATTGGTCTTGAAGATTCACCACTCCTCCATGAATATATTCAAAATAATTTTGCATTGATGGGAAAACTACATGATTTCTATCAAGAGAGCAAATGAAGCTTCTACTCAGCCTTTGTTATTTATCAGCATTACAAGATCTAGTGGGTTGGGTGTTGTTACATGTTGAAATTCGACTTCAAAGTTTCTTCTGCCCAAGAATATTTATTTGCCAAAGTTGATTTCAGGCTTCGAGACACATATCACTGATTTCTCGTCACTGGGTTTACCTCATTTTCTCTTTTTTAGTGACTTGTCCTATAATGAACTGGAACAGCTGCCCCCAAAAGCTTTCTATGAAATGTATCAACTTGAAGAACTGTAAGTAGCTCTAGAGCACTTTTGCTACAACTAATATAGGGCCACTGCTTCTTTTGCTCTCCTTGACTGAATCCTGTCATATGATGTTTGTGAAAATATTTTTCATTCGGTAAGGTGTCAAAAGGACTGTATATAACTAAAGGGAAGGGTATGATTGGCTAAAATCAAGAGATTATAATCATAATCTCTTGCTAAAATCGATATTGATCAAGGTCTAGATTTTCAATTTTAACTGACCTCAAGATAGATAAATTTCTTCTTGAAACGTTGCAAGCAACAACAACAACAACCACAAATTAAAAATATAATATGTAGCCACTTAAGTATATTGCTGTGAGAAAATTTGCTGGAAAAAGACCTAAAGCCTTCATTTTACCTTTTATAGTGATATCAGACATACTTAATGATTTTGTGGGGTTGATCCTTTTGATTTGAATTAATTCCATAGTCTTCTAGCCAATGGATGCCTGAATGGCGATCGTTTCTCAGTTGAATCACCAAGATTTCAAAACACTTGGCAATCTTATCCCAGCCGCACCAAATTATTTCTGGATACTTATCATTGGCGAAATTATTATTTTTTTAATGCAAACTAGTCTAGTTCACATAAACTTTTGTTCTTAGTAACCTTTTGATCTACCTGACTAGCAATCTGTACACAAAGCATCCAGTTGCATGAGAGATATAAAGAGGCAAATAACTAAAAGGTTAAAAGAGCAATTAAAAAAAAAAGTGAATATGGTAGAAATGATGAGAGAAGTAAAGTAAATCGTCAACTCCTTAATACGTGCCACACCTTATCACTAGAACTTCTATCTCCTACTCAATGGTCAGTAACATGTCTGATCTTGTTACAAGTCTTGTTATCTTCAGCTTTGCAATAACAGTACAAAGTAAATCAGATTAACCCATTTGTTTTTTAACTCTGACGGTTTCCCTCTCACCATTACAGTTTCCTGAACAACAACAACATAAAGAACTTGTCTTCTGATCAACTACCTAAAGATTATTCTACGAAATATAGATTTAAAAACCTGTAAGTTTTGTGGCTTAGGAAGCTTTCTTTGCTTGAGTTAGTCATATTACCATATCTGAAGTCTAAAAAATTCTAGCCACAGACCCTCCCTTGTGACGGGGACTAAAAAGAAAACCATCAATTCTCAATCTTGATAGGAAATTTAGGTTACTCTATTTTATTGTATTACAACCTTTTCTTTCACCAGGTTTTTTGTTGGCCCCATTTATATGGTCTCGAGTACACGAGAAAACCCTCCTCTCCCCTGAGAAATGAGCGCGCTCGTGTTCAAATATTTCTAACTTCCAATGTTAACACTCGTATGCAACAACAGCCTGTCTCTGATTTGTTTTCATCTGTGGCTGAGTCCAAAGAGATTCAAACGCTCCAAACCGAACAATTGAGGACCTTCGAGAAAATAATTATATCTTTTATGCAGAACCCTAGACTTCAACAAACTGGAGACACTTCCTCCTGATATATTCAAACGCTTCAAGCTAAATGATCTGTAAGTATTTTGCTCTGAAGCTTAATAAAGTTGACTGTCGCTGACTTGGATAGATTACTCTTCCTATATTGCCCTTTTATTCATAGTTTCACCCCTTTTAAATCAAACCCTTTACGAACTTTCTCTTGTGAACATGTAAATGTATACTAACTACCCAATGACCTTGAACAAATTCAGTTAGTCAATAGCTAGACTGACTAAATTCTGCGAGGCGGATTCTTAGGGCTTGTCATCAGAAACACAAGAGTAGATGTACTTTGTCTGCTAGACTCAACAAAAAAAAGAGCTGTTCAAGCAGTCAATGAGTTTATGCGCATTTGTACGGTAGTTTTTCCCAACAGGAGAGGCATGTTTACAGTGCAAGCATCAGGCAAATATATAGTTAAGCATCTTTTGGGTTCTAGTCAACAGAGAGAATGGAAGTCTTTTCAAATACTAATGGTATTCAACTTTAATGCATTTTACAGGTGGCTTGGAAGCAACAACTTAAAAAACTTATCCGAAGATCTATTCACTGGGCAAGATGAGTTAAAATATTTGTGAGTACTTGTGATTTGGCATCTTCTTAAAAATATTTGTCAAGTTATTTGCTCTAATTTGTCTCTGACGGAATAGCCTGTTAGCGGCGTAAAAATGATTTCATTTATTCACATATAAACATGACCAGCACTAAAGAAATGAAAAACATTTCGTCGTGGAAACCTCGAATGAGTTACACAGTTCGATAATTTGAAAGACACGATACCACTGTAACCTGCTGGCTCTCATATCAAAGATTCTGATCAAGAGGACAAACAAAGGTGTTTCACTCAATGTTTCTACCTGTCAATTATCACTGCTTGTTTAGAGGGATGTAGTGCTCTGTGGCACGTTACTTCATGAACGTGCGCGATTTTCAATATTACCTCAGATTGACCACGAGGTTTTTGGAACCACTATGTTGTTTAACAAAAACCAGTTGTGATTTATTAGATGACTAGAAAAACAAGTTAAAAAGCAAAAATCGAAGAGCAACTTATTTAATTCCCGGAGCCATGTTGGAAAAGAAAACGCGAGGCTGACGGTGACCGCAAAATATAAGCTTATGGAGAACAGCGCCATTTCGGAAGAATAGTTTGCACTTTCATTCTTTAACGCGTACGAATCGAAATTATAATAGTATTCAAAGAAGAGAAATTGTAACAATATTCAGCAACTAAAATTGAAGGATACGAGGAAAAGTTTGCGCTCGAATTCAGACTTTGTGCTAATAGTAAACTAGAAAATGACACCAAAAATGAGGATAGAGTTGATGATGGTGGCGATTTTTAATACAATTAGATAATCAGAAAAATCCCTGCACTCGGCTGGTCTACACACATTCGTAAGCTTTCCGAACTATGTTTCGGTCAGAAGTCGACTACGGCGTCGTATCATCTCGGAAATACCCTCACATGTGCCGAAGGGTACCAAATACAACTGAGAAACTCACCTTTATGAAGGGAAAGTGAAAACACCAGAAAGTAAAATCTAGGATGGAAAGACCAACGTGAAAGCCAGAGTTTTGCGGTCGATGAAAACTACGCCGTTCAGAGTTGTAGTAGAGTTCACGCCTTGATGAGAAATTTGCGATCCCGTTCAGGAGAGCATGCAGTACTAGTTTTGAATCGTTCTTAATTGGAAAGACGATAGAAGGGTGAAGCAAAAAAAAAACTTTTAACATAAAACCGATTACATCAGATTTGATCTTTTGGTCTTTAATGAGAGGGTTTGCTGGTTTAGCTTAATAAGCAGATAATCTTTTAATTAATTAATGACGGCAGGTCATTTCCAAGCGAGAGCGAGTCAAATTAAGAGTTTTTTTTTCAGAGTATTGTCAAAGGCTTGGCGCATTCAAACTAACTAGCTGTTAAAAAAATAATAGTAATAAAATAAAAATTAAAAAAAAGGAATAATGATGAGTGACAAACTGATTCTCACAGGATTTAAGCAATTGTAGAGAGTAATGCCTTGCCTAACACAGAATTCTATTTTTCGGTCTTCGCTTTCTGCTTTTGCCTCATTTGCAGTTTTTTTTTATGTGAGGATCAATTGATACTCCATTACCGATTTGTTACCTTGAAACTCACCCTTAGTGTACCTTTTGTCAATTTAGATCATTTTTATTGTTTTCATAATGTAGACGGTTGAGTGGCAATCGGCTGGAAAAGCTGCCTCCAAAAATTCTTCAAGGATTGTCCGCCTTGGAGGAACTGTAAGTAAAAATTTTGCGATATTTCTTTCCGTAAATCTTAGGGTGCGTTCCTTTGAGAGGATCCGGATTCGGATTTGGGATCCAAAATCAGACAGATCACGGTGCATGAAAGGAACGGAGTTTTTAGACGAGCTCTCAGATAATTCCAAAAAGTGCGCTATTTTAAGACTTGTGTATGCACGTGGGTTACTGAGCTCTTCCCTGAATGGCTCGTTTAATTGCACGGGCTTTAGCGGGCTTTTAGCGCATTAGAAGCACATTTTTTCATGGTAAACTCAAGCGATGGAATTAAAACAGAAGCAAGTACTGATTACGATATGGATACTTGGGAACCCTGAATGCCTGCGATCAGTGACCGATCGATTTAACATTACTAATAACAGGGCTAAAAATTGGCGGTCGCACGGTCGCCAGTGGCGAGTTAAAACTGACCAGGGCCACCAAAAGTTAAGGTTTGAACGCCCGATGTACGACTATGCTACAGAATTTCGAAAAGTTGCAATGTAAACTACGCCAAGTACAAAGTTAAAAAAAGAACTCAATATGTAATTTAATTGGACTACCTTTCTCTTCGTTCCTTTGCCTGAACTCTAAAATCATTCATTTTGGTGAATTTTTAGTTCTGAAGTGGAAATTCCGAGCTGTTTTAACAGTGATTTCACGAGCGATCCACATTCACAACATATAGACGCCATTTTGATTTGGTGATTGCCACGTGACTCTGGACTTTTGTGTTCTTTCCTTTTAATTAACGCTCCGTTAGAAGCCATGGGGCGTTTATTCAAGTTTTTCACTTTAAACTTAAGGTAATCGAGGGCAACTTCGTTTAGGAATGGGCCACTAAGAATTCAGGGAAACTGGTCCGACTGGCCACCAAGCACTGAAGTTAATTTTTAGCCCTGTAATAATATAAATGAAAAAATTACTCAGTTCTGAGTGGTTAAGATAAATGCAGTTTTCAGGTAATTCAGTGCAGAAGAGGGTTAATTCACTGCAAAGGAGTATAACATACCAGACATTCTGATTGGTCAATAAACAAAGAAACTCACAGATAGCCAATCAAGTGCGAGCCTTTGATGCCGCAACATTTGGATACGCTGAAAATTTGCGATCAAAATAATGGCCGGCATCTTACAGCTGCTGAAAAAAAAGCGCTAACAACGAAAACACTGTAAAAGGCATTGCTCTTTGGTTGTCGGTTTGGAAAAATTAGTGTTGAGAGAAGGGAACTGCTAGGGAAATAGAAAAATTCGAGCCGACCCAGCTTAACACTTGACTCGAGCGATTCTACGCCGAAACTATAAACAAACATGGCTAAACCTCGGAAACGACGATACCATTTCATCGAAAGTGATTCGGACACAGACTGAACAATTCCTTGAACTGTTTAGCTGAACTTTTTTCCGCTTTAAGATGTGAAAATATCATGATATATTATTGTTTTGATCGTACACGGTTGTTTTGACCGAACGCACAATGTCACTTGCAGTGTTTGTATAAATTATTTTTGCACTTGATGTGCGCGCTTTGCTTCTGCGTAATTAAGATGAGCTATCTCGTATTTTTTCATGTATATTATTAATACGTAATCACACGATTTTTCTCGTACAATTTGGAACAAATAAGCACTTGTGAATTTTTTCAAAGACCACAAATTGCACTCGCCCTACGGGCTCATTAAATTTTGCTAATCTTTGAAAAAATTAACTTGTGCTTATTTATTCCAAATTGCACTCGAAATCATGTGATTACCTAGACAAAGTCGCTGTTATTTCGTGTTTATCGCAGAATTTGTGGAGCGATTGCCAACAATCTTTCCGGTCAATATATGAATTACCAACTTGTTTGAAATTGAGCACCGCTGGGCAAAATGATTAATTTCGGATCCTTCGACCGAAGGAACGCTTTGGATTAGTGATCCAGTGATCCGTCTTCAGATCACGCAGATCAGTGATCCAATGATCCGTCTCCTGAAATTACGCAGATCAGTGATCCAATGATCCGTCTTTAGATCACGCAGATCAGGGATCCGATGAATCCTAGTCCAGAGTGGATTTGATAGATCACTGATCTGAAAATGGATTTGCTCGAAAGGAACGCCACAGATCAGAAATCCTGATTCGGATTCTCCCAAAGGAACGCACCCTTAGTCAATGAGAACATTTCTTTCTTGATATTAGAAGTTTGTTCTGTTGTCTCACGACAAGGTCACTTGATGTGGAACGCAACGTTACGACTGCTTACTGCAAGTCTTCTTCTGGCGATGGGGTCGACTGGTTGTTCTCGGTCAATAAATTTGGTTTCGTTCCATAGTGGCTTGTGTCCGGTTCCGTTGGCATGTTCTGAAACCGCGGAATTCTGAGTGCGTGCGAGTCGTATATCCCTGTCGTGCTCTTTCATTCTTACATTTCTTTCTTGTTTCAAAATATGGTTTTAAAACCTTTCGTTCTTAATTGAGCCAGTAGTCAACTCTTCGATCATTCGATCATTGAGTTTGATGCGTTGTGCCGTTGTGTATGAGTAGTTCAAAATAGGACTGTTCAAATTTATATGAAATTGGTAACTGGTATTTCAACAACGTTAATGAAAGAAACGTTATGTCGGTGATGTTGTTTCTGCGGTATTCGGAAATGAAGCGAACGCCCCCTCACGCATTTAAATTCAGTGGAGCTATCTATCCAATTCACCCTTGAGCGTGAAAAAGATACCCATTTGCCCTTTTTTCATTCAAATGTGTGCTGAGCGGAACAGAGGAGTTTAGAGAATCGTGTTTATCATAAACCAACCCACACCGACAAATACCTCGCTTCCGAATCTCACCACCCTATTTGGCATAAACAGTCTGTAACTAAAAATTTACTCAGTAACATTGATTCGAAGGCTGAAAAGAGAAAATATTTTATTGACATCTTAAAGGTAAATGGCTACACCAAAACTTTTCTCCGTAACTGCACTCCTGATGAGAAGGAACCAACGACTGGTTTTGCTGTTATTCCTTACATTTAGGGTGTTACGGAACCCATCAAGATAATTTTGAATAGCCACAACGTTAAAATTGATCAGAAACCTTTTTAGACGTAGAACATATTTTTGCCAAACCTAAGGATCCTGTCACGAAAGAACAACGAACCGACGCTATCTATTTTATTCCTTGCAATGACTGTGATCGTGAGTACATCGGACAGACCAAACGTTAGTTTGATACACGTTTGAAAGAGCATCAAAGAGCGGTCTCCTTTTTGTCCTTGTCGGAGCGCACATGCCTAACTAACCATACAATTGGGTGGGATAAGTCTAAAATTATCACCACTAGTCGACTTTACCACCAGCCTGGCATATTAACTCCGCCCACGCTCCTTAACTCGTGATGATGGCGGCTTACTACTTGACGCTTATTTACACTTCGTCAGAAAAAGGGGCAGCTAATTAGTAAGCGTATAAAAGGAGCTCTTGCTGCAGCGATTAGATCACCCCTGATGAAGGCACTAGACAGGAGTGTCGAAACTTTGGGTCTATGAATTGTAACTCCTCGGTTACGTTCATTAAATCTCTAAACCAGAGTAGTATCAAACCATGTCTGGTTTAAAATTCAGTAAAGTGTTGTTGAATGAATTTTGTTGGACGAGAAATACTGTAATTTTCGATAGAAAGGTCAAAGTCGAAACTCATATCAAGATCATTTTCCCGATACGGTTCAAATAAAGTCGATGTCCATATAATGGGTATAAAATCTATTTATAGCACTTGAAAACTTATATTAGTCAAGGACATTTCTCCCATTACTTTAAAATGTTTGTTACCTGCAACTTTTGACTTTTTCTATTCACCGCGCTCCCCGCTAATATTATTTGCAGGGACTTGTCCTACAATCAGTTGCAGTTTTTGCCTCGAGGGCTACTTAGCAATAACACCAACCTGACAGAACTGTAAGTAAAACTGATTGTAGAAAAAAGAATTAATAATTAATGATGGTGGTCTTTAAACACTTGAAAAGTTTGCTTATCTCTGCTTCGACGTGATCCGCTATCGGATGAATTGATCCAATGAGTGGTGTTATTTAGTTTTAGATCTCAGAATGCGTTCGGTGGGCCTACATTAATTATTGTCTCAAAGGAAACGTCTATCGGTTTACTGCATGGAGCTATTTTCACTGAGTGAAGCTGCTGCATATTGGTTATTCCTGGCCATTGTTTGCGGGGTCAGTGGTATTGCAAATGTCTCCATTCGCCTAATTTAAATCTAAAAACACGTTGCGGTATATAACTGGTTGGCTCGTTTGGCTCCTGTATAGCTCATACCAGAAGAGTTAAGTAGCGGGCTTTCAGCCCATTTTAAAATAGGATTTACGTTCTTAAATTGTGATTTAGCTTACTGTTATCTCAATAAATACTTTAAGGAATTTGTCAAACAACAAAATTCAGCGTCTGCCCATGGATGTTTTTGGCAACCTCACTAAGATGAAAAAGCTGTAAGTGGCATTCAACCCTAAGCAGCAAAGGGAATTATAATGTACAGTTTTTCATAGAGCTTAAAGTAAATTTATGAATTATAGTAATAATAACAATATTTTAGCCCACTTCACCAAAAGGTGCTCTTCAGAGGGGCCTTGCATCATGACCATTCTGAAAACAGAGTTGCGCGAATTTAGATTTTGTGATTATTTCAAGATGCGTACTGTCTTAATATAATGCTAACTTTGATGGAGTTGATCATCAAGAACAATTGAAAGAAAGGGATCAATATTTAATTGTCTCACGCAGCCATTATTTTCACGTGACTTGTGACTATAATTTTTTCGCTGAGTAACCAGGGAACTCTGTTAAGATTGATTTGTGATGTAAGTAACCTATTATAGTTTGGTGCATCAGTACTGAAAATGACGTCATGATATGGAAACGCCCATGTTAACAATTAACGCGTAAATGGTATCTTTTACCTAAATTCTCAGCATCAGGAGTAAACAGTTTATGCACTCAGCAAAACTTTTATAATTCCACAAAATAGCTTTGCCAGAACCAATTGGGTTTAATTTCCATAAAGGTAAAGTCCTCCCTATTCGGCGAGAACAAGAACCTTTCCAAGAATCTCAAATTCTATTTCAACTGACTTCTTTTTCATTATATATATTATTTTAGCTTTCTCTCCAGTAACAAACTTCAGCGCTTGCCGAGGTTCAAAAATCTCTCCAAGTTGGAAATATTGTAAGTGATTGACGTTTGTAATGTAACTGGTTCAGTAAGTGTCTTGCTAATGAGCATTAATTAAAGGAAGCGTTGGCCAAAATCAGCTTCGGTACGGACTCTCTCTATGGCATCTTTTTATGACATAAAAGTTTATTTAAGGATGTTAATTGAGTTAGTTAAAAATATACATCCACTTTGGAAAGAGATGCCATCAACTAAGAATTACCAAGAGTCAAATGTTTAAGGTAATAGAACAAAATATAACACAACACATCCCCTACAATACTTTAATAACACCCTTCCCTTGGGGCTTGACAAGGACCTTACGTTAGAAACGATCGCTGATTGATGATTAACCCAATTCAAACTTCAGTGATAAATTGTTATTTTTCTGAAAAAATTGTTTACCGGCTATGAAAACTTTTTTTCGATATTGAGTTAATTTGGGATTTAAATGAAAATACGGGATCTATAGATTCCAGTTCTTAACCAACATTTTTCTGGCAGCTTTTCCAGATGTTCCAGAAAAGCGTTGTTCAAATTAAAAGCATAGAATTCCGAATGGTGCGATTAGAAATACTAGTACGAGCATTAACTCGATTGCAAAAGTAAATGGGCGCACGTCCGATCATTCATTTAAATTTCACAATAGCGTTACCAAGGTTTAACCATTGTTTACCTGGTGGCCAGCATAGTCCTTTCGGTGAAGGCGTAATATGATGGAACTTAACTGTTCCTGTCACAGTGCACACGGCAACGTTTTGGTCCAAATACATTTATGGGACGTTTTTTCAGGAAGTGTTGGTGCACACTGATGAGCAGTAGAACGGTTTGCCTAATACACAGGCTCTAATACACTTTCGAAAGAGGTTTCGATTATAAGCATGTTTAACACAACTGACTTTAATAAAGGATGAAACAGTTTCTATAATATGAGACAGGGTTCGGGACTAAATTAGTCTCGAGGTCCTTAAAAGATTATGCTGGGTCAAGGTTACTTAAGAATCTCTAAGTTTCGCAGTCAGCTGTATGCTGCCAAATACCATTAAAGTTAGTAAATGCTTCCCCCCATCGAAGACTCTGTCATTATACTGAGCGCCTCGTGCATTTTATTGTGTAGATACATGTATAACAACAGCCTCGTATCCCTGTTACCTGATCAGTTCCAAGGCCTGTCCAAACTGGAAGAACTGTAAGTGAACATTCCATAGAAATCATACCTGACTGCACAAGTAACTATTCTTGACCAAATATATATTTAACCAACTTTGATATTCATTTTTACTCTTGGTTGGAGGACATACAACTGCAAAAACAAGGAAGGAGTAACTCTCGAAAATACAAGTATTCAATATTTTTGTAGTTTTACAGAGGGTCAGTATGGCGACTAAACCTTTCTTTCCAACGTTTCGCTAAATTTTTAAGCCAATGTACTTTGATTGGATAAAGCTCAGAAACCTTAGCAGAATTCTGAAAAAGATGCTTTGTCATCCAAGATAGCAACTGTCACCTCGGATTTCTCTAGAAAAAGGCAGAAAAAGAAGAGAATTAGAGATGAAGGGATTCTCCCAAAAATTCAACAGATCAATGGAACAATGCTTTTTATAGTAGTCCAAATATAAGCATGCGCAAAGTTTTGACATTTTCAGCAAGGTAACCGCAAACTGCATATCAGTGTAACTTTTACACATTTCTGGCTGTGAGTTTTCTTCGTACCTTTTACTATGTTTTCAAAATCTGATAACTTTTGAAGATATCATAGAGAGAGGGCACTATATTTCTGATAATAATGATGTGTCCTCTTTGTTGTTCAAGGGCTGTTTATGAAAACAATATCGAATACCTGCCGCGTGAAGTTTTTAAAGGCATGAAAAACATGATGTCTATGTAAGTATCTAATTCTAAACTTTCCTCTGAATAACGGTAGCGAGGTACTGCAAAATTAGTAAAGATCTAGTCGAGATGCAATTGTAGGAATCTTATAAATGTCCGTTATCTGAGTCGAATTCAGCTCAGGGAGATCAAGAGAGCCACAAAGCTCCACACCAAAAGCACGGACAATTTTCTACCTCCGACGACAGATCTTACCTTATGGATAAAACCATGCATGATTGGACGACAAGATATTTGCGATAGCGGAAGTGAAAACAGCCTGAATAAGAGATCATACTAACTAGAAGTAGAGAGAACCACCAAAAGGCAAATCAGATAAAAAGCTTGGGAGACACTAAGTCTCTTCAACCACCATAAACCAGATCCTGCTGAGGTATCCCCTTCCAGATTCAAACACTGAGTTTACAAAGACTTCTACCATGAAAACCTCTCGAGGGTAAGCATGACAATACTCGTGAGGTTGATTAAATCGGCATCGGCCACGAGGATATAAAGGGATCTGGAGCCGTACTATCAATTGCGACTTATGTAAGGAATATTTTGTTCTTGATAACCGAATTGTCACTTTGAAGAAGTTCTCCGTAATATGAAAATTCGTGAAAATACTTATGTGACATTATTTTATGACGCACTGTCTAATGTACGGTGAGGTTCTTTTATCGTTGCAGAACATTTTGAACAAATGGAAGATATTGCCTTCCATTCTTGGCTAATTTTCTGTCCATTGTTGTTATAATTTATACTTTGATGCTTGTCAACTGACGCTCTACACTTTTCATTGTTTCATCGTTCTCTAGGAGCTTTTATTTTAACAATATCCGTGCCGTTACCAATGAACAATTCAAAGATGTCGCTCCAACTATTCGATTCCTGTGAGTATGAGTAAACTGATAATATCCCAGGTGTGTTCAAACTACTTCGAGTTCAAGGGAGACAGATATCGTTGGTGCGACCTACACGTGCCGTAAACTTACGGATTAGCGCCCCCTTCCCATTTTAATGAATGGACAAGTGATACCATTGGCCGAATTGTTTAAAAAGGAAAATGGAGTAAACAATTTTCACATACCTACCACCACTGATATACTAGAAGTGAGGATCGGCTTTGTACGTTAATGCACAGTTTATACTTTTATTTACGCCCAAGTGTTATATTCCTTGGGACGATCATAACTGGTCACAAAAAAAAGTTTGGAAAAAACTTGAGGGAGGGCCCCTCCCCATAAAGTACCCTCTCTGTAATGAGCGACCCATCGTTTCAACCTAAATTTGAAATGAGTGCACCAGGTACTCATTGGAGAATTAACAGCATATGAATATAACAAATAAAGACACTTCGGCATAGCCGGCTTGTGTAAGTACGTTTTAAATACTCAGTGACGAGTTATCCGTCTTCGGTGTTAGTTTTCTAGCAAATAGTTGTTGAGAATTGTGCAGGAAAAGGAACAAGAGAGAGCCGAAAAACGGATTAATACATAATGGTAATAGGACCAAGTGGAGTCCAATTCGGTCTGTAATCATACGAGTGATCAGCAAAATCGGACGACCGCGAGGCGGGAGTCCGATTTTTTAATCACGAGTATGAATTGGACGACAAGAAGTCCTATTACCAATTAATCATAGACATTGGAATTTTCAAAAAAAACAAATGCACCTAAACGAATATCTCCAGTGGAGACAATTTCTTTAGTTAAAAATTCCTCCATTTTGGAAATTCCCCAGTTTTTCTTTGGATAAATGGTTGTTTCTATGATTATTTCGATCATTTCTGTGATTGGTGGATTAGCTGAGTGGACTTAGTACGATTTGCTGCTTCAACTGTCCGATTACAGATGTCTGATTATAGGCAACAGTCCGATTACACTGTCCTACTATGACTGTGCCGAATGATTAGCGAAAAATGAAGCTGCGAATGCACCAATAACATTTGAGGAATTTATAATGGTTGTGATTAATAGGCTGAAGATGTCGATGTAATCAAGAATAAGCGAGCAAAGTTTACCTAAATTGCTTTACTTAAATTTGCAGGTACTTCCATTACAACGAAATGCGAGAACTACCGGAGGGTTTCTTTTCAAACATGAAGTATCTAATAACTGCGTAAGTCAAGTGGAATATTCTCGATGCGAGGGTTGAAAATTGAAAAATTTCATTTGTCGATGCTCAGTTATACTGCACTTAGAGTATTACTATTACGCTTTCATTTTCTTGCAAATTTAGATCCTGTTACGGATCAAATTTGTCTTTTTTTCCCTTTTGTTGTTCATTTGAACTCTTTTTATGAACCGTAGGACTGTAGACACCAACCTGATGTGTTGCCATTTGACGAAGGAGGACGCAGATTGCGACTTTGCTTATGTCGACAGCTTCGCCAGTTGTGAAACTTTGTTCAGAAATCGAGCTCCTAGGGAGTGCCTCTGGGTGATTGGAATTATGTCGTTAGTTGGTGCTGTGTTTGTCATTGTGTGGCGGTTAGTGTTTAGGGAGAAGAAGAAGAAAAACAAGATACAGTCCATGATGTTGATACATTTGGCTGGGGCTGATGGACTTATGGGTGTCTACCTCATAACTATAGGTGTGGTGGATGCCATTTGGGCAGGGGAGTATTATTTGCATGACTATTACTGGCGTTCAAGTTTGACATGTCAGATAACAGGTGCCATTGCCGTGTTGTCAAGTGAGGTGTCTGTAATGACGATCTGTTTGCTTTCCGCCGACCGGATGAAGAATATTCTATTCCCCTATCGTGGAAAGTCCCTTTCACTTAAGGTTACGCACCTTTTGTGCTTCCTTATCTGGATTGTTGGTGGCATAGTTGCATTTATTCCCACGGTGGGCTTTGACTACTTTGGTAGTCGCCAGAAAGGTCATCACTTCTATGGCAGATCAGTTGTATGTCTGCCATTGCAGCTTTCCACCGATAAGCCGTCGGGCTGGGAGTACTCTGTTGCCATGTTTGTTGGTTTAAACTTTACCCTTGTGCTCTTTGTCGTTGTGGCATATGCGGTGATAATCTATAAGTTCTGCGCATCAAGCAGGCGCATGGCTAAGCAAGGGACCGAAAGAGAGAGGAGAATGAAAGCCAAGTCAAGGGCAGCCGATTTAAGGAGGGAGGCCTCGCTCGCCAAAAGAGTGTTCTTCATTGTTCTTACCGACTGTATCTGCTGGCTACCTATTGTGGCGATTGGAGTGAGGTCTCTCCTGGAAAAATCCTTCCGTACACCTGGTGACCTCGCAGTTTGGATCGCAGTCTTTGTTCTGCCGGTTAACTCTGCCATCAATCCCATTCTTTACACCTTGTCTACCCCACAGGTACACGTACTAATAACTTGAGCAGTTGGAAAAATATATATTCAGCAAATAAGTTAAATTTTGCATTTGTATTCATCACTCGCAGATCACAGATCACATCTAAATTCGACAAGAATAAATAAGTGGAACACGAACCGCCAAGAAGTGTCTCACTTTGTATAATTTTACCGTATTTTATATATTAGCTCGTAAACTTGATCTCCACCATATTTTTGAGATCCCTGTGCCTCAGAAATCTCTTCTGTATGTAAAAGTTGCACGTTTTCACTGTATCCCACTCGGTTTGAGAGTGGCTGGAAAGCTGCACAAAAGTATTTTGCGCATTTGTGAGGAAATCAAAGATTCGAAGGGTTTAAAAACTGATGAGAAAGCACCATTTACTGATAGTAACCTCGTGTTTTGTTTCGATGTATTAAGGTTCGAGGAGTCATCAGAGCCAAACTCCAACCATTGTGGGATTATCTGATGGCAAAACTCGGCCGAAATCAAAATTTTGAAGGTAATTTTTGACACTTTCAAATAATCTTCCTTCATTTTGGGGAGTGTTCTTCCCGTTCTTTAATTTTTTTGGTTCATGCTATAAAGTTACGAACAGATATACCGTGGGTTAATCAATCAGATCGGCTCGTAAGCCAAGTGATGCTTTTTGGTTACCTACATGAATAAGAATAATGTATTTAGTGTCGCACGAGTTTGTTTGTTTTTTTTCATTTAAACACATAGGTTGACTCGATCTCAAATGATAAAAAAGACATTGCCTCATGAATGATTAATTTTGTTGTTGCTGATGTTTTGTCCGCTTGCTTGTATTTTTTCGTCAGTTCAAGATCAGGGAATAGAGATGAGAGTTATCGAAGAAGGTATGCACCATTTTCTTCTCCACAGACTAAAACACATTTCAGAACTCAACACCTAGTATTCAAAAACCAAGAGCGAAACAGAAAAGCCAAAGAAAAGCATTCATGTAACTTTGAAGCAATTTGGTTCGACCTTTTTGCCAGTTTAGGAAACATGTACAAAGTATTTGAGCCTTCAGTTTGGAATTTACAGACAACCATATTTTGAGTCACTTTAATGACCGCAATTTTTCTTTATATGTAATAAGCTTAATCCTATTTTGACTGATTGATAATTATTATTTAGTGCAGGGAAGACTTATAGATTTTGTCACCACTAACAATATTTCGCTTTTCATATCGTAAAGCAAATAGATACCTATAAAAATCGCTCACAAAAAAAGTCGAAATAGGCTAAGAACACCAGACTTCTCGGCTGAGTCCAGTGCACCACGTTTTTGATGTTACCACATTTTGACGTCATCTGCGGCTATGAATAAACGGACGCACCGCAATATAGGCTACGTGTTTGGTCGACCGTGAAACTTTTTCAAATAATGGTTTTAATAAGGTATCAAAGCCACAAAGAGATATTCGGAAAGAGTAAAAACGGAGCGTAATTGATTAAGGACGGAGAAGTTACACAATGCGGTTACCAAATGCAAAAAGAACGATGTAGCTCGTTTAACAAATTTGGCGATTTGGCCAACTACAACCACCTGAGGAAACACTTTTTAATCTTATTCCCTTTTTGTGTTTATTTTATTGAACACAGTACAAAACCAAGAGGAAGTTGAGAGCGCTGACGATAGTGAGGATGAATCGCAAGAAGAACAAGGAGATGGTGAGCAACATGCAGGATCAGGCGAAGACAATGAACGACCTACTGAATCCCAGCAAGTTGACCATGAACAAGACGAAGAACCAAAACAAGCAAAAGTAGAATCTACTGAAGAGAAGCAAGTTGAATGTGAAGAAAACGAAGAACAAAAACAAGGCCGAAAAGAACCTACTGAACAGCAGCGAGTTGAACGTAAACAAGACGAAGAACCAAAACAAGACCAAGAAGAAGCCACAGAACAGCAGCAAGTTGACCATGAACAAGACGAAGAACCAAAACAAACAAAAGAAGAATCTACTGAAGAGAAGCAAGTCGAATGTGAAGAAAACGAAGAACAAAAACAAGGCCGAAAAGAACCCACTGAACAGCAGCGAGTTCAACGTAAACAAGACGAAGAACCAAAACGAGGCCAAGAAGAAGCCACTGAACAGCAGCAAATTGAATCTAAAAGAAACGAAGCACCAAAAGATGACCATGAAGAACCCAATACAAAGCAGGAAGTTGAACAAGATCATCATGCAGATTCAAAGGGAAGCAAAGAAGTAAGTGAGACGCGACAAGAAAAACAGGAGCTAAATGAAGACGATGGAAAACCTGAGCGAAAGCTGAAAGGAGACGACCAGGAATCCAAACAACAGGGCACTCAACAACAAGAAGAAGAAAAAGAACCGAATATCGACCAAGCAGAGCCTGATGAGCTAAAAGATGAGGGTAAACAGAAGAAAAGAAATGAAAAAGAAAATGAACAGCAACAAGAGCAAAATAAACATGATGAGCAGGAGCAAGAAGAACACTCTGAAGGAACCGAAAAGCAGCAAGTTAATTGTGATCAAGAAGAACTAGAGCAAGACCATGTGGATCGTAAACTCGAGCAAATTGGGCAAGAAAAACCAAAAGGAGACGATGAACAATCTATGAAAGACCAACTGCAGCAAGGAAAACCAAAAGGAGAGAATCAGGAACCTAAACAAGAGCAACTGGAAACTGAAAAACCAAACGGAGAGTATGAAAAACCCAACCAAAAGCAACTGGGAGACGAGAAGTCAAAAGAAGCTTGTGGGGACTCCCAACAGCAGGCTGATGAGTCAACGGAAGATAAATCTTCACGACAACAGCAGCTGATTATGGACGAAGGTATGTTTTGCCACCCTCTATTTTCGCCAAAATTTAAAGTTTTGGAGTATTAATTTCTCGCTTATCAGTCTGGGTAGAGGAAATATTTCTTCATTACTCCAAACCTCTTAGTTATTTGTTTTAAGCGACAATGTTAACTAAAGTATCATGATAATGAGTTGCTTTGTTATTCAACAGGACAATACGAAGAAGATGATGCGGTGCTGGATACACGTCTGTGATTGCTAGCATTGACTTATCAAGTCCTTTTTAGTTCTAGTTATCGTTTTAGTAACAGAAAGGTTACATACCGTTATATCATGAAAATGATACATTTACTTTTAACCAAGAGCATTAAAGAATAACTCATATAAGGTATTACAGTGACTTGTGCGAGCCCGCAATGTTTGTTTTCATTTTTTGATCATCTGAGTTGTCGTAGACAAGTACAAACAGCTACAGGAGAAAGAAAATTAGTATGGTTTGCTAAATAGATAACTGTGAAAGCATTTTTACGGCCGTGTTGCGTTTCAAGTGTCGTCAGAAGTTTCCGCAACTGATTTCAATCCAACATTATTAGGTTTATTAGTACTTATAAACATGATTTAACCATTTACTCAGCATTTAGTGGCATATATTACTCATTATTTATTGACTTTAGTCCTAGCATGTTATTTAGTAGGTGGCTTTATTGTTATTACAATGCTACGCCACTAATCGTATTTACTCCACTGCACACATATATCAAGTGCACAGGTCAGATAATGTATTTTCATCTGACTCCTTTATTTATTCACCTTTGTTGTTAACCTACGATTTAAGTTAAAATTTTTTAGGAGCTTGCACAAAAATAGAAGAAAAAACTATCACAGGAGTGAAATCCAAGTGAGAATGTTATAAAAAGTGTGAAACGTTTCATAATTTATTGTCAAGCCATTTAGTGTCTAATTAAAAAAAAAATATAAAAAATTTCAGCTCACTTTTTTTGTCTTCTAATAATTGAACCATCCTGGAGTTCAATAGCGTAAAGAGTATCTTATAACTGGAAGATCACCTTTGATGCTGGAAATCAATTCAGTTGCTGCAGGATTGTTCAAATAAGTTGAATCGGATTGTCAGTTCACTGATCAACCAATAATACGGGACTTGAGCTCCAGAGAAAGGTTCAAATTCAAGCACAGAAATGGTAGGAGAAGTTGAATGTAAAGATTCCATCGACAAGCTTTCTTGTTTCTCCATAAATTTTGAACGAAGATCATGCACTGCGGTCTCATAGAGTCAGTGACAATCCCTGGCTTAATATTACTTCTACCACCAGGATCCCGCTCTTCCTCACCCCGTGCAGATTCAACAATTTTCCATTCCCCTCGCCGTACAAGTAATGATCTGGAATTAAACTTTTGGTTTTTTCGGTTATAGGGAGGTAGTATTTACCCTTGTCTCCCGGATACACTCTCTCTCCAGCCAAATGACCAGTTAAAAAATCACACTTGTCTAAAGCTAAAGTTTCCTTTTTTACTAATTTCATGAGTATCGTGATGACTTTGACGGGAGGAATTATTACTCTTTGTTTTGAATCTTCTAAATTGGTCTTTTTGAAAACGTTTTGCTTCGTAACGGTCATAATCAGTCTTGTTTTAACTTGTGCTCAGACGAATGACATATTCGTGTCACTCTGATCAAGTAGAGTACAATGAATGGCAAGCCTCAAAGTGATTTGCATTTTTTAGCTTTCTGCGTGTTTGTTTCCGCGTGATGAGGTTTGTAAAACACTTTTTCGGCATAAAAGGTCAACCACAGTTTATCACTTTGTTTGTTGTGTATTGTAATAACACTCAATCTGAGAATATCTTCCTCATGCGCTTGCGATCCTCGTCATCTTTTCGCGCCGTTTGTTGACTCGTACTAGTCTTCTCGCGGCCATTCCCTAGAGTGCCTGACATATTTCATCGCTGTAACTGCAACATCGCTAGAGGTTTCACTGAATTTAGGTAGGGTAAATAACTAGACGTACCTTCCTGGTACGCTTCGGGGGCAAATCAGGCTCGTTTGTTATCGCCAGAGGTATTTTAGCTCGACTGCGTACCAAAATGGTACGATTAGGTGAGAACTGGGTAAGAGATCTAACAGATCACGTAAGAAAGAATACGTGTACGGTTGTGGCGAGCGCTAACAGAAGCGAGAAGAGCGAGAGATTTGCAACAGGCTGTATTTTATTACAAAGCAAAAGGCAAAAAAGTTTAAGAACTTCATTGGCTTCAGAGGGCGAAGTCCAACATCATATCACAATCTGCCGCTTCAATTAAACAATGGTCGAAAGTAAAAGTGAGGATTCTGACACAACTGTGAAGAGAGCCGAGGTGAGTCTGTATGTTTTATTATTTCATCGTGCGATCCTTTAAAAGTTTCAGGGGATTACTTTAAAAATCTTGCCCGTGCTAAGTAGGGCATGTGTGGTGCTGAGGGTTTTTGGTAGATTTTTTTAAAGAAAGCTCTTCGTAGGTAGGTCGATTATTGTAGTGGACAAACTCGTCAGAAATACACCATTTGTTTATTAGCTGTTAGTTCAATGTGGTCACCGAAAAAATCATGAAAATTATCTGTGAACAAGGAGCTTTTCCTTGTCACTTACTATTTTTAAATAGTACTCGTTCTTTAAATAGTAAGTGAAAATAGTAAGTAATAGTAAGTTAATAAAATAGGTAGTCAGGTTTGATGAATTTTAAAAGTGTAACAGTTGCATTAATATGGCCAACTTTGATTAAAGGAAAAGGAAAGTGGAAAGGGAGCATGCCTGTATGTGTCCTCAGTAAAAAGTTCAGATTCAACAACAATCATCATCAAGAAGCTGGAGTCATTAGGATTTACTGTTATCAAGGAATCAAGCATTGCATCAGCTTCACAGTTATGTGCCTCCATGAGGATGGCTCTTATTGTGTTGGAAGACTGTGAAGAAAACAATTTCATTGAGACTATCAAGTAAGTATCCCCTTTGTTTGTAAGTCTTTCCATTCTTAAAGACTTCATTGTGAGTGGTCAAATAAAGTTCAATTAAATGCATGATAATATACATGAAAAAATTATGCACTTCTGTTTGGCTGCAAACAAGTGCAAAGTTGTAACACAAGTGCAGATTATAAATAGTGTGCTGTTAAAATTGTGAATAAGTGCTACACATATACCAATTGCACTTGCCTTATGCACTCTTACAATTATGTTGTCTTTGAAAAATTTACTTGTGCTAAATTATTAACACCAAATTGTATTGAAAAGTTATTACCTGAACAGGATTCCTTTAAAATGCTATAGCTATTACATGCAACTGCATGAATCAGCATTGCAAAGATTTCACATTGTGGATTGTAGACAATAAGTAACTAATTATAAATTTCATGCTAATTTTCACTGGCTTTTTGAAGCTTTTAACTATAAGTTCTCTCTGAACATTTTGCTCCATCTCTCTCCACCACAATTTGTCAGTATGTATTTTGCTTGCTTCCCAAAAAATGCTGTAGATTCTTTCTCCCTTAAGACAGTCATGGCCTCAATGGCTGTTTCAATGAATATACTTGGTCATCATAACCTGTTTTGTTTCAACAGATCACCAAAGGCATGCAACGAGTACACACCCATTGTATTTATTTCCTCTGGACCCCTGTCAGGTAAACCTGTTCCTTTCTCCCAGTGGTTACTGTATATCACCATGGTAACTGGCCAAAGCAGCTTCCTCTTATTCTTTATGAAGGGTTAAGACCAATAATATATTAAGTTCTTTGAGACAGAGCCAACCTCCTTGACCAGTGGTATAAGAAGAGGCTCTGTAGTCAAAATGTAGGTATTGTTAAAACAAATTTGAGAAAAAGAGAGTGGTCTAAAATCTATTGTTTATTGTACCTGTAATGATGAAGCTATGTCATTGAAGCTTTACAGGCCATTGATTTTCCATCTCCTTTCATTTTTTCCTAACATCTTGCTTGGGTTAATACAGTAGTTAATGATCAAGAAATGTGATGTATTGCTACTGAAAATAACAACCATAAAAAGTCAAATGCATGTAGGCACAACTTAGATATTTTGCCCCTTCTTAGTGTTGGTTCAAAGATTTACAGTCTGTTTTTGAACATGTTTCTTATGATATAGCTTGCAAATATATACTGTTGCAGAAGGCAATAACAAAAAGTAATTATAGCCTTTTTATAAAGGGTAACTCAGCTGTAAGTTCCTACATGTAGTAATTAACAACTCAAAGATTGACTGGTTTGAACTGTTCTCAACAATGATTTGATCTTTTTGTTAATTCTTTTTTACTCTTGATTGTAGTGTGAAATTTTTCTTAGTATTGATTGACAGTTGCTGCAATGCTGTTACGACTACAAATTTAAAAGTTTTTTATAGATTCTGTCAGACACTTGATGCAAGAGCAGTACATTGATGAGCTTGTGTTCAAATGCTTGACACTGGAGTGTGATTTGGGAAGTGCAGTAAATCGTCTGATAACGCAACCAGGACAATTTGCAGGTACATGTATCTATCATGTAGAGTTTGGTTGAGTCATGCTTGCTTTTTTCATTGTAAAATGCCTTACATTATTTTTCAGAGTATATTCAGAGTGACAGGGAATTTTGAGTGGTGTGTTATACCTTAATCCCTCTTTGAAAAGATTATATTTCCAAAAAAAAAAAACAAAACAAAACAAGAGAGGGAAAAAAAGCCAGGATAGTAGTCAATCTAAAGTGGATTACTTTTTATATTACCCAGCCAATTGGTATGTGCTTTGGCTTAAAAATTAATTCATTTTTTACTGTTACTAAGCAATGGAATTAACTGCAAGCAAATCAAACCACCAAACCAAATTATTTTTAATAATTGGTGGCTCATTTTGTGAAACATGTTGGTTCTGGTTTTCAGTTTCTCCCTGGAAATACAAATCTTTTGTTGCAAATACTAAACAAACATCATTGAGCAATGAAGCTGTGTGCATATTGAAAATATTGTTGGGAGCCATACACAATTAGGTCCCTTTAAGAAAATTGTAAGGTCACTTGAGGATTTCTTAAAATGTTCTTTCAGTTACATATTTAGATTTGACTTCAATTCAGTTCATTTCCCATTCATGTTATTGAGACATGCTAGACCTTTTCAGTCTGGTGAATACTTGCAAACCTTGTAAAACAAAAATATAGTTGCAAAATAATAATGTGATTCATGTAGCTTTACAAGGGAGACATTGTCTTAAAAATTTCTTCAAAATGTTGTTGCAGTTACTCCTAAATCAAAGAGGCCTGGCATTGTAAGAAAAAGGAAATTTGATAAAGCTTTTCTATCATCAAGGAACAATGATTGTGAAGGTATGATATTTGATTCAGTGCTATCTAATGGAACAAGCTGCGAAAGGAGCCAATACATTTATAACTTGCAAGCCTTTGAAAACTGCATACCACTTGTTCCCTCAAAATTATAGTTTTCCCTGCTTATAAGTGGGCTAGTTGTGGCAACTTGTCTGCTTCACAGTATGTGTTTAGCACTTGTTTTGTAAAGATTTGATAATATTTGATACTGTATTTTTGAAAAGTTTTGAATTTTTGACATTAACACTGCTTCAATGTAAACCAAAAGTTGGCCGCTGACATACAGTAATGTACAGTACTTACTTACAGTATATGGGATGAAGCAACTCATCCAGCAGCCTAAATGAAGCAATTATTATGTAGTGTTAGTAGTACAGTCATGCACTTGAGAAGAAGTTTTGAGTTTACTCCAGCTGGTGGTTTTACATGTATGTGATAGTCTGATGCAATGCAGAATCCCTCTAATTCCATGTTTTAACCAGGTGCTGCAGCAGCAAGTCCTAAAGAATGGCAAATTCCAGCCTCAAATTGGGGTCTACATGTACCTTCAGTTTCATCATATTTACATGGCTATGACAACACACAAAGTGCATATAATCACATTAATCCACTCTTGATGTCTTTATCACCTATGCATCAGCAAGACTATCATGAGAAAAAGAGTGGTGTGCCTATCCCAGCAAAACAGATGTCATGGGGTGGTTTGGACAACACACAGCTGCTGCCACACCATCCATATCACTATTATCGTCATGTTACAAATGGGAAAAGTAATGTTCATGTAAAGAAAGACAGAGGTGGCACAGAGAGCACCATTATGTCTAGTGGGTATATGCAGAGTGATAAGAAGCAACCTTCAGTGGTTACAAAAGAAGAGGGCAAGAAGCAGGCCATGGAGAAAACGCCACAAGATATTTCCTCCACGAAACAAATAGAGGCAAAAAAAAGCTGTGATGGAGCAAGTGTTAATTCCAATGACAAAAACAATCAATCTGGGAAAAAGACCCCAAAGACAAAAGCTGATAAAAGTGATAACAGAAACCAAGAAAAGAATGTGAATGCAGAAAGTTGCTCCCCAAGGTATACTTTTTTTTTCAATTACTGATACCATATATAACTAAACAGTTTTCCTAAGCTGCAAGACTGTATATACAGTGTACTACCAGAGCTTGGAGCTGACTTTTTATCCTGTTGACCAACTCACTGATGACCCCCATATCTAACCCAGATGATTTTTATTCACCTGAGCAGGTATACAGTTGTATGCTAACTTTGCAAGTAACAATTCCCACATTAAGTAAATTACTCAATGTTTGAGCTAAATTGAAACTAGCTTCCTCACTAAATTCAACATCATAATAATTCAGATATCTCAAACTACCAGCCTCAAGACTGTAAATTACTCACTTTCATCAATTACCAAATTGATAAAATGCACCCTGCTATGGAGGTATAAGTATAGCCCTGTATACAACTGTAGATATCGATATACAGTACAACACTACCAATGGTCTCCATCTGGATTGTTGTAACTGAATTTTAAAATTTCTTTGTTGTGGCATATAGGTGATTTCTGCAATCTCAACTGTTGTATTTCTGGAGACTACATAATTATACATGTGCCTTGAGTTCTCTTTTCCAAACCTTTTTTGTTACCCTTGACAATAAGAGCTGGAGACTCAAAACCACACAAATGTGTCATTGTTTACATTGAAGAAGTCTGTATGGAAAATACTCAATTGTAGAAAGCTTTGAAATTTGCCTTTTAATCAGTGGCTATCAATAAACATCAGTCACTGTTGAGCAGTGAAGTACAGTAATCTTTTTCTGATCAGTTATTTTTAGTTTTATTTTTATTATTAGTAAGAACCTGATCTTGGTTGGTTGACTTAGTTGTCTTCAGATGTTGTGAACTCCAATAATTTCATCCCAGAAGCAATAAGCTGACACATTTTTGGTTATTTATTTGTTTAAAGTTCAGTAAACAAAGGTGATATTACTGGACTGAAGAGAAAGAAACCAAGGTCTACAGGGTTGACTTCCCTTGAACGGAAAGAACATCACTTGGACAAGGAAAAGAAAAGAAGGTCAGAAAATTAGAAGCTGCTCAATAAATCTGCCATCGCAGTATGTGTTTAGCACTTGAAATACAGCAGCTCTCTTTTCATTAATTTTTTGTCTAAAAGGGAGACTGTATGGGCTGTAGGTCTGATCCTGAACTGATTGTACTTTACATGTGGCTGTTAGTTCCTTATCCAAATTGTTATGAGTTGTCCAAGTGTGATGAGTGGTTCATAGTTCCAGCTTATAATGTTCAGGCCAATAAAACAAGATGTAATCACATTCTTGACTGCTTAATAGGCATCCATTACTAGGAGGCCTAGAGAGATATAGTCAAATCCTTGTCTGCTTGGGAGAATCTGTTGCATTCCCAGCCAACCAAGCTCCTGTTGTTTGATGGCTGGATAAGGACAGTTTAAACTCAAATATTGCTTTCCAGTAGGCAAGCACAAGGAGAACAAACTACTGTATGCTATTCAGTTGTCAATGATTTATCTAGTGGATAATTTTATACATCTTTAACCCTTTCACTCCCACCATAGACCAAGAGGGGTGAATTTCTCTGGCATGCGATATTTACATTTAGATCTTGAGGGTGAAAGGATTTCTTCCAGGGACCAGGGATATACTTTTGGAAAGTTACCACAATTTTACAAGCCTGAAGCCAGAATTCAATATAATCTAAATCTGAGGAACTATTAGTGTGGTGCTTGTACATGTAGCCTTAAATCAATCCATTCTTTTCTTTTATAACAAATTTTAAGCTGTTATTAATAACTTTAATAGTTATTTGAAACTTTTTAGAGATGGACCCAGGAGTTTGAATAATTATGAAATATCTACAAGTGAGTTGTTGTTTTATCTGATAAAATATAGAGAGCGAATCACAAAGTCGTGGCACTGGTTGCGGCAGCTTGTGCCAAACTGTGATCCATATGCAGATAAGGCCACTGTATTTGAGATGTGTGTTGCATATTTTCACCACTGCTGGAATAACCATGGTCCCCTCTTACAACAGATCAACAAGGTATGTAGTACAAATGTTATAGTATGGTCAACTGAAAACAAGCTAAGTTACATGTTGTTACGTTAAACAGTTTACATGCAGAAATCTTAAAATTACAATGTATTCTCTCGAGTAGACAAACCCCAAAGAGGAAGGAATTACCCAAGAAGGAACAAGGATTGAAAATTTAAAATTTTGGCAGAGTTTGTATAGATGGTCAAACCATAATGTACATAATACTGCACAGCAGCACAAAAATAATATGAATGTTTTTCTAACTTATGAGGAAATTAAAAAAGGTTTTCAGAAATGATGTCTCTGCTAAGTCAACAAGAGTGTAAGAGTGTGTTAGAAATGATTGCATAACATTAAATTTACCTTAACTCACTTGTTAAACAATTTACTTCAAGGCTTTCTTGTGATATTTTGTTGTCACTGTCATGGGCTGTTCTTTTTCTTGCAAGCTCAATTTCAGCTTGCAAGCTCAATTTCAGCTTGCAAGCTCAATTTCAGCTTGCAAGCTCAATTTATGCTTTCTAGCTCAACTACAGAAAAATGGCTGACTGAAATATCATATTATCACAGAAAACACCACTTAGCTGTAGAATGTCATAAAATTTGGCCCAGCTTTTAGCAACACATGTTCACTGTGGATTGTTGTCTAAATAATGATGAGAATTAAGTACCAAGCCAGTATCTTCCTGGAACTATTTTACTTTAAAAATATCACAACTCTCACAGACATTCTCCCATTGGGAGAGACCTTGTGGCATTCTGATCTTTTGGTCATGCATTAAGAATTTGAATCACTTTGAGACCTTGTGGTACTCTGATCTTTTAGTTATGCATTAAGAATTTGATTCACATTGACACTACACATAAACTTCAACAATTTTTTTTCTTTAAAACAGGATTTTTCATCACTGAATAAAGTCACCATTTCCTTGGAAGACATGGAGAAGAAAGTCATGGAAGTTCTTTCAAATGAAAGAAAAGCATTTGGAATTAGGGAAGAGCAGTCATGAAAGCTTGAATGTTTAACCAGAATTTACCTGAGTATATGTCCACTGTAATTCACTTGCATTAAAAAAGTCTCTACATGTACAGAAATCCACAATTATTTATTACAATACATGTGACAATACACAAACTTACATGTTGGATTTAGTGATAGCACAAAGAATTGTTTAACAAAATGTTTTGTAAACAAAATTGTGAGGAAATCAAACTACTAAAACATTGCAACAGTCTGGTATTTACAGTTTTAATAATTTTTTTAAATCCTAATTACTTATCCAAGAGCTTTTTGGCAATAATAAAGTTGATGTATTTCATTTCTTCCTTTGCAGTTATTAACTTTTAGACCCTACAGTTTAATGAGTAAAGATGTACATCTATTCTTTTCAAAGCTCTATTCTAAATACATGCAGCTGACTTTTATGCTAGAGGTCATGAGAGAAATACACACTTGTAATAAATAAATCTTTATTGAATTTTGGGGGTGAAAATCAGTACATTTCAGAAATACTTCAGAAGTAAAACTGAGATGTTTAAAAAGTTTAAAACTAACAACAGTTTCACTGAATAAATATTGTGCCAATAACTACATAAAATAAAGCTCTGCTTATTCAGTTCTAGCAGCCAAACACTGACAATATTCTGCATCATTAGAGGCAGTAATTGTTAAGTTCTCCAAAGAGAGTAATGTATATTGAATACACAGTATTTTGTAAAAACACAAGAAGTGAGGTATAACTTTTAAAATTAGTTATGACTGTTTGTAGGCATCTACAGAAATAATCAGCATCAAGCGTGTCTAGACCTCGAAATACAAACTTGTTCATGACTATACACATTTGGCATTTCAGGCATAATTATGTGATATGCCACACTGAAGTAGTTCATATAATTATTTCCATTTCAATTTAAAATTTGCAATATATCACACTTCTCTTGGATATATAAAGAATACACCTCTACTTTGCTTGTTCTTCAGAATAGTGGATCTCTGATATCAAAGAAAGTGTGTTCCTGTCAAATAAGAAATAGATGCAATTGTATGTGTAATTGTAACATGATATTAATATTAACCTTTTGTGTCAACATTTATGGCAAGAGAAGCTAAGGTACTCACATCAACTCAGAAACTTGTTGGAAGTTGAAAGAGGAAGCTCTAGGCTCGTATCTGCTCGTGTTGTTGAAGAAGCAGTTACTGTCACTGAAAACGTTCTTTTTCTGAACTTTCCTCACTTGGTGAGTAACACCTCACCATTGAGTGTCATTCATGTGGGTTTAAACCATTCACTCTAGGCTTTGAACCAAGTAACCTCATGAACCTCCACATAATTTTCCATGGAGTATATTGTACAGTAGCATATAATGCAGCAACAATAATGTGCAAATAAAATTAAATATAAATAAGTTAATAAACTAAATTCCATCTCACCCCAGCTAGCATCATTCGTTTGCCTTCCATGAATGCCAAGTCACTGAGATTCTTCTGCCGCAACACATTTCCATCGTCATCTGTCATATTAAATACAATAGCTTATACATTAAAGGCCAAAAGCAAACCTTGTGTATCTCAACACTGTGAGGAATACTGGTATCATATCTAATATATCTGAGCTTTGTCATGGACTGGATAAAATACCGAAACAAATTAAATGGAATGTGGATTTGATTCACATATTTAAACCAATAAACCTATTCCAGGTGAATCACAGGTACATGTACATGTACATGTACATGCATTCGATTACACTTAAAACAGAGAAGAAGCTGCTGATAATTTCCAAGATCATGGTATCAAAACTACCATGATGGTAATGAGATGAAGGTAGCTTCCTAAAAATAGAGGACTAGCCTAGTTCTGGCCAGATTCTGGCTCTTCTTGACAGCTTTGAAACATAGATTAGGTTGTAGAAGCAGGAGCCCTGACTACTATGAATTATCACATACCTAAAATGATGGTGCTAAAGGAGTCAAGTTGTAAACAGCACTAGTATCATCCTCATATTAACTGTCTGACATAAAATCACGTACCTGAGCTGCTGTCTTGTTTCACCTCAGAATCAAATAAATCTAAGGAATTACTTCTGAGCAAAGAACATGACACTAAAATCAATGGCTCCTGAACATGACAATGTCTAAAATCAATGCATCCTGAGGAAGGATTGTACTGTACATTGATTGGTTCTTACTTGGTTGGGAGTTTTCTACAGACATTTCCACGGAAACAGTCATAACCTTTCTTTAGAAAACAAACAAGTCTCTTCAAAGCTATTATGTACTCTAAAAAAGTGGATAATAGTGAATTACCTTAAAATCCCTAAAGAGAAGATTGTCAGCAAAGAAAATAGGGCACATGTTGATGTGGAATTTCTCTTTAAGTGTTTAACTTGATAGCTCACAAGTGAGATGTTAAGTTAAACATAAGAAGAAAAATTTCATATCTGCAAGTAACCACACAATAGCCCTTTACTGAGAAGAAAAGTCAACTTTATTAATGAATGAATGAAAATGAAACAATAGACAATCCCTGAATAAAATTCATAAAGTGTTTTGATGCTAAGGCTCGAGATGGAAAAATATGTTGAAAGTCCCCACCACAAAAACAAACAATGGGTGTTTCAGTAATTTTCAATATACAAAATTCTTAGTTATTGATTTGGTCCTTATTGACAAAAGGAATCTTTCAGGAAAATGGCCAAAATCTGCCTGTGGCAAATCTGTTGATTTTTGTTCTCAGTCATGAGAAATACATTACCAAAGCCACTCATTACATAACTTTTGGTTTTTCTTTCTGTATTTTGGTTTTCTTCCCCTTCTAGAAAAGTTTGCACATGGATTTTTCAGTGTTTTAGAGGCCATAATCCAAAAAAATTGCAACAAACAACCTAGGATTGAGAATGGTGAAGGCTTTGCCATTCATTTATCAACCTGACTGAGTGGCACAAAAGGCAAGGATGTGTCAGCAGCTGATTGGCTATATCAAACACATGTAAAAAAATATTGTATTTTTTTTATGTGAGTTGTTTCAGCTTTTCTCAGGGCTGGAAATCCTTGAATAGCACCATAGTTAATATGATAAACTATTAACTAAACTTGCTTGCCCAAGCCATACTGAGGAATATTGACCCAAGGAGTGTAATGACACAAGCTCATATCAATAACATTCTCAAGGAGGATCCCATTGCTGGGTGAAAGCCTTACAGACCTGACACAGACATCTGAAATGTGTTTAGTGTCTGTAAATGAGAAAACTTTGAGTAGAACTGTTACTGTTACACTGTAAAACAAAGACAAAACCAAGGAGAGATTCTGTACATGAAATCAATGTAATAACAGGAACAAATTTTCACTTACAGATCAACAGCTTCTTCATTAGTTGCACCCCAGGTGTCTATGCTATAGAAGCAACTTTTCATAAATTTTAGGACTTGCCTGAAAGAGTCAGAGTATGTGGCTTTTAATTCCTAGGAGACTCGCAAGTTTTTTCTCTGGGTAATGCTTGTGACATCAAGCGCAAAATTTACAGTATTACTCATTCTGTAGTTATATAACCAATGGAAAGCAAAATAATTTATCCAATAATTATAGTCTACAAGACTATACTTGGTAAGTAAAAAAAGTTAGAGTGAAAATTGTATGAGACACAGACTTACCATATGCTGTTTTTACCCCTTTCCCACTGAGGAAATGACTCATCCAGATTGAGGACACTAGAAGAAATATTACTGGGTTAGAACTGTAGCTACAGTTTGGAACAGTTTAATTGTACCTGCACTGCACTCTATGTTCTGTGTAGAAGGTTTGTTGAGAGTTTTGAGCTGCAGAGTCACAAGGTCACAAAAAGATAGCTGTCTTGCTACTCACAGAGCTCTCTCAAAACTGGCATTTGAAATTAGAACATACCACAAAAGCTAATTATGAATTCACATACATTTATACTACGTGAACCTTATCATGATATCACTGACACATTTTAAAATGTCTCTAAAACAATAGAGCATTTTAACACAACGTCGTGATGGAAGAACCTCAAAAGTCATAAAATTTTTGTTTCATTGTAGAAGTCATGAAATTCTATTGAAGATAATGGAGAGTCACAAGAAATTGATATACGTTGAAAGAAAAGGAAAGCCAAACAATCCAATTATACAATTATCTGCTGTATAGCTCAATAGAACTAATCTGTTTATGCATAATGAAAATATTTAAAAATCATCCTGAAAAAATCATGGAAAAATGTGGTATTCTTTTGTTTCAAAGTCAGTACAGTTATATGTAGGCACCATCAACAAATGTTTTATACTTACCCATTCACTGGATTAACTTGTGGATGAAACATAGGTGTGGTCAATTTCAGAAGAGGTCGACTATCAGGAAAACTGGTAATTAAAAAGAGATCAAAATATATAATAATTAATATGTCAATTAATATATCTTAATATATAAGTATGTAATGAATTAAAAAAACCTTTGATTCTAAAACAGGAATTAGGCTACCACGAATGTGTTTTTGTTCCTACTGCAGCTGTTCTTTGGCAACAATTTTATAGAACATCTACATTGTAACTGTTTGTTTTTGATTTTTTGATAACTTTCTCTTTTAATCAGATTGCATGCTGTGAACTTGAAAGATGATCCTTTTTAACTGATTTACATGTTTACATTTCATCTACTTAGTTAATTCACTACAAGGCCACCATTTAAACCAGCCTTAGCTGAATTGGACTTATCCATACAAATAAACATGTAGCTTGTAAACAAAAAAATAACTTATGAAACGTAATTTTACAAAACATATCACCAATTGAAATGAGCTTTTTTTTAAAATGTACTTACTCATCTTGGAGAATAATTATAAACCTGAAGATGCCATCTCTGTAAGGCCCAGCTCTGACAAATATTACTCCATGCCAGACTAAAGTAAACAAAATTACAGTAACTTTGAATTGCACCAAGAATGACCAGCCATATTTCTTTTATACCATTGACTGTATCTCTATCTACCCTTCCACACAAGTGATGAAAACATGTTCTGTTGGCCTATCAAACTTCAATGTTTTGACAGAAAAGCTCCAAAGTTTTTCTGCCCATCTTTAGTAGCACTATTCACTCAATGCTGTTCCACAGTTTATTTTTCAAAAGATGAAAGAATTGAAAAGAATTATGTCTGATCACTGAACTATAAAAGAGTTTTTGGCCAAAGTTGATCCTGATCTACCACTTACATTGAAAGGCTGCCCTTGCTTGGTTTAACCCTTTCAGAGATACAATCTTCATACAACATTCTCCAAACATCTGTGCACAAATGGAACTGTGCAAGATCTATCACTTTATTTTGCAAGTTGATGATTAATTTGAGGTATGCCACATTTAAACCTTCTGCTTCTTATGTTGAGTGCAAATGCCATTGCCAATCACCATCAAAAAGCAGGAAAACCTTCTCAAGTGGGCAGGCAATGTAAAGCCTTTACATTGCCTAATGAGCAGGAAAACTTTGACGTTTTTATCACAATCATGTGTGGAGGGGTAGATGCAATCAATGATATAAAGCTAGTGTACAATTTGTTCTTCCAGTCAATAATAACATCTGGTAGAACAAATAACATCTGGCAGGTGTAAGTCCTACCTAATTCCACTATCATGCTTACAATCCAGTTGAGTTTAGCTGCAAGGTTTAAAAACTTTCAAGATAGTTTTTCCAATATTGTTTTTCCCAGACTGTGTATATATCAAGTTATGGATGCACTAGGGAAGGACTGTGTATATATCAAGTTATGGATGCACTAAGGAAGGACTGTGTATATATCAAGTTATGGATGCACTAGGGAAGGACTGTGTATATATCAAGTTATGGGTGCACTAAGGAAGTTTGGAGAGCACTTAAGAAGCTAGAGTTGCTTAAGGTGCAGCAACTCTTACGCTTCTCTTGTGCTTTCCAAACTTCCTGCATGCATCCATAACTTGATATTCACATGCTAAGCATGAACCAGTTCTTTAGTGTCAAACATTTTTTCAAACCACTCTCATTTCCATTATTTTTGTTTATGATCACAATGAATACCAGGCTGCGGTTGTTCGAAGGTTGGATAGGACTATCCACTAGAGAAAACTCTATCTGGTGGATAAGGCTGTACATTTTGCCACTGGATTGCAATTCATTCATTGGGTAGCATTATCTGCCCTTAATACAACTAGACCTGGAACTAGAAACATTAATATTTTTCATGTGGTTTTAGTAGAACATGGTTGAATATTGCAACTTATTCTAAAAATATTACACCACAACATTCAAGACTATAAAACAAACAGTGAATAAAGGATGCCAGTTTAACAACAAAATTGTATCATATGTACTACATATGCCTCAGTGTAGAGAACTGACCTTGTAATGACTTCAGTGATGGTATTACATAAACTCCAGAGAGAGGATTTCTTCCCATACACTTGCTACAAAGAGACAATTTTTTCCAAATAATTACATTTTTTAAAAAGTAAGAAATTTCAAAGCATACACTCATTCTATAATTATTGGAGGTTTAGCATTTTAAATATACACATGGACATCTTAAGTAAGAGTTGCCTAGAAGTATTTTTTCATGAGTCTACAAGGATGAGGAAAAATATTTCCTTGAACAATGAACAAAATGTCTGCAGGCATTGAAGATGTATGTTAAACTATAAACATATTCAGAACTCAGACACAGGACTGAGGGGGAAAGACTCAACATTTTTCATTTAATTTACTGACTACAGATTATGTTCAGAACACAATGCTGTTTAAAATGTATAACTAACATAATTACTCTAACATGATAATTTTGTTTTGTTTTTTTATTAACAGAGTTGATAATGTAAATTGGCCACTGTAAAAAGTTTAAAGCTGACGGTTTGAGCATTAGCCCTTCATCAGAGCAAATGGAGGAATCATGGGTTGTGTGTGTGGTTATATTGTTGTGTTTATATGTGTATGATTATATTCTGGTTTCAGTTTTACAGCTGGCAAATCCTCATCTGTCTAAACATCAGTGAACTCCCGTGAACAGTAAGATAATTCTAGACTATCATGGAGTATTATGAACATCAACTACTAGCAAAGTTGTTGTCCAAAAGAAATTGGTTAACTTAAAATTGGCAATTCGTCATCGAATCAGAGATTAAAAGAAGAAAACCCACTCACTATTCAACCATGATGGCGTGCTCCCGGAAAAACGTCCCAAAATCTTGACTCGTTGCGCAACTTTCATTTTCTGCTCTAATATGTATTCTCTCTTCGTCCGTCTTCGTCGCCAAAGTGCTGCTCTCACTCACTGATCGAACTAGCTTTGCTTTACCAGGGTACGAAGGGATCAGTTTCCGGGCGGCTTTTAGTCTCTCGCTGAACGTCGAACTGGGAGAGAACCGTGATTTTAAATGGCCGGAAATTTCGGTGGTTTGATCATCTTCCTCTTTCGATTCCTTGTCATGATCTGGACTTAGCGAATGAACAGGACTTATGGAAGGCATGATAGAAGCCACAGACAAACAGGATGTTTGAAGAGCGTTAGATATGGGCAGTCAACGCCGGAAAATCTTTTGAATGTGTCTCTGTCGGTACACAAAATGGCGTGGCTGTATCCAATACAATGGTATGTAATCGTATCGAATTTCGATAGCTGTCACGTATTGGTATATTCAATAAAATAAAAGCCACTCAATCCATTTGCAGTGTCCTCTTCCTCTCAAGCCATTATGTGGCATATGTTGCTAACTTGTAGCCAGTTGTTTTTGATTCAGTAGACGGGGTGAATACAAACGCACTTGAGCTTGGAAATATTTCCTAAGGAAGCAGATGAAAAAAGTAATCAGAAGTCTGACTGATACGCACGACTTCTTGATCTTAACGCCGATCTTTTGCCACCCAGAATTCGTTAACACCGTCAATTATTTATGATCCACGGGGAAAAAAACTTATTTACCTGCATTTCTTTAAATCTCGTGACTTTGGTGACAGCAACACGTTCCAGCGCGCGCCAAGTTTAAAACATTCTTCGCATGGCTTTGAAACGTGCGCAATTTAGTACAAGGCCTAGAGGTAGTAGTTGAAGCCATGATTGAGGCAAAGGCTCAAAAGTTTCTGTCTGGCATATCCAATTATTAGCTTTATCGGTGAGAAGATAATTCTGTCACTTTGAAAGACCTAGACACTTCGGGGATCACTGACGACCGCCATCATGGATGAAACTGAGCCCGCTCTAACAACCGCTGAGCTACTTTGAGCTTTCTGATTGGTCAGTAACTGAACCGTTAAATTTGATTGGCGAGGTCACTAAATCGCGGTCTTTTTGACTGAGGAGAAAGTGATACCAAAGCAGAAGTTTTTATTCGGATAAACTGGGAACTGACTGCTACTAATTTCTATGAAACAATGAGCAAGAAAGACTCCAAGGATTCTCATGCCAGAGTGTGCCTTAGTCGACTTACTAGAATTTTGGAGATCACCATGCTTGAAGAATTACAACAACTTGAACACACGGGGGATGTCGCGAGAAATCTGGAGATCGAAAGTAATTCGGAACCTGCACAGAAAAGTTTTTTCTACAAATCATCGGAAAAGATAAACAAGATCATCAGCAGAAGAGGTGAAAAAAGGCTAATAGAATGAGTTCCCATCAATTTTAAAAAAATACTCCAAAGTGTTATGAAAAATATGTAAAATTTTTCCTGCTGCTCGACAAATGACAATTTGTTAGCTTAATCTTACTGATATTCTGTGATAAGAGGCCTTATTATATTGCCGGCTTTATTTTTATAAAGAGAACCGGAGCGCCTCTGTTCACGATAACACTGTCTTAATCAATGAAATCCTAAAAAAAGTAAGCTCTTCTATAAAATGGTTGGCCAAGTCCTCTGCTATTGTTGAAAAGTCTAACTACCTTGACATACACTGTATGTTTGAGTCTCTTGATCGTCCATGAAATAATTTTAATTTATATTATGTTAATACTGTAGTAACCATAAATTATAAGCTCAGCAATGTTAGAATTATTGTAAGCATTATTCCTTGATACTCCTCAAAAAAATATTAATAATAATGAAAATTGTGATGAAGTATTTTTATGACATTTAGCTCCATGCCTTTCATCTCATCACTAGACATTATTTAAAAACTTTTATAGGCTTTACTCCCAGCTTTGTTATTGTGCAGGCTACCAGATTTACATGAAGGCACAGTACATGTACACCAGACTGCTTTGGTTGAAGGTTGTTGATTATTGTTCTTAGCATGGATGATTTTTTTCCTTTCAGGGAGTCATAAAATATTTGGCCATTCACTAACAGAGGAAGCTGTTCTCAGAATCTCAACTCTTATAAATTACTTAAAGTCATGTAAGTCATTAATTCCAGGTTGCTTAAAATATTTATGGAGTGCTGTACATTTAAGAGGAGACAAAATCCTCCATAAACCTTGCAATTTAATAATTAATAATTAAAAGGAATTTCTTGCTAACTCAGTCTTGAAATTCTGAAGTGTAACCTACATAAATGACCCAAAAACACCCTTTAAATGTGCTTAAGTTTTGACTGTGCAGGTGAATTAGTTTTATTCTTTCTCGAGGTCCTAATATTGCTGTCTGAGTATAATTAATTCCATTTGTTTGCCATTGATCAAAATATGTTTGTTACTTTATTACAGATGTGGACAAGGAGGGGTTGTTTAGAGTTTCTGGCAACAAGAAAAGACAAGAGGAACTAAAAGAAATACTTGACAAAGAAGACCCAGTTAACTTTGAAAATGGAAGATTCACTCCACATGATGTAGCATCTGTTCTTAAAATCTTCCTTGGAGATCTCCCAGAACCTCTTCTGACAAATGCTCCTTTGGATGCTTACTTACAAATCACAGGTACAGCACTGTACTTTCAGTTGTAGCCAAACTTCAGAAGGACCTCTGGTGATCAACTTATAATTTAATGTGTATAAGAACCGTTTATGTTAACCTTGATACTGATTTGTATCTTGCATACATGTAAGCCTATTTATCAATAATTAATATATAGCTGGCAGCACCCATGGGCAATATGAAGCCAACCCTATGTTTTGATTGGCTACAGGATTGCCTTCTTTGATCCCACATAAGAAAAAATTGTAGCATGCGGACTAAAAATGATCGTAATTTTTGGAGAATTTGGGTAATGGACTGGCAAAAAGTGGCAGTAGATGGTCAAAACAAAGAAAACAGATTGAATGATTTTCATGAGTGAATTGCGTTACAAAAACTAACAATAAGAAAAAATTGAAAAAACCAAAGTTTCTCACTGAAAACAAGAGAAAGTAGTGTCGATCCTTGTTTATGTTTATTAAAGTTCCTTTAGTTTAATTTGTAGTTTTTCTATTTGATGTTGAGAGTATTTATTTTCTATTACATACACTGTACAACTTAAAAGACATGACTTCCATATGGTAACCATGAACTGATCTTATGATTGTGTAGAGATCCGTAATGATGAATCCAGTGCTAAGATGATTGAAGCATTCCAGCTTCTCTTCTTGTTGGTGCCACCTCCAAATAGAATGCTGTTACAGCAGTTATTGGAACTCCTTAATCTTACCTCTAAGAATCCTTACAATAAAATGACAGCCCACAACCTTGCTGTGGTTTTTTCACCCAACATTATGGGCTTCAAAGAGGTACTGTACATTTATCTTGCTTTTGATGACACAGCTCAAGATGCTATTGATTGTTGAATAAATTCTCCCTTTTAATGACACAGCTTAAGATGCTCTTGATTGTTAAACAAATTCTCCCTTTCAGTGAAATAGGAAATGTGTAGAGAACAGTGTGGAGAAAATACACTGTACCTACTGTCTGGTAGCTTTTACATTAGGGTGAATAGGGTAACTTGATCCATAAATTTTTCAACTGAGGCAAACTTGAATTCAAGATCCACATTCTATTGTTACAGTTAATGATTGTAACTACACTAACAGGTATTTACAATTTAACAGCACCATAGAAATTGTGTAATATGGAAAAATCCAATCAACCTATTTTCTTATGTCCTTTCCGGTCATTTATTTGGAAAAAAATCAGAAAGTGACATGCTTGAGTCACATTCCAGAAGACATGACAGTTATGCACAAGTTGGTTGCCTCCATGATTCATCATGCTTCTGAACTTTTCAAGGTTAGTACATGTATCTGACTGACTACTATTAGCATTTTTCAATTTAATCCTAATGTTAGTTCAGGAATGCATTGGTTTTTCTTCTCCTTGCCCTTTGGTTCATTCAGGAAACTTGCAACACCCTCTTAACTTCTACAATAATGAAAATAAAAAGCAATATTTGTGGTTTCAAGATCACTCTCAGTTACTCATTCTTTGTGCAGTTAATTTGCTTTTTCATACTTTGAGTTTGCTTTGGTCCTTGTCAAAGACATATTCATTTAGACTGACTGTTAGGGTTGCTCTACCTGTGATTTTACAACAATCCTAGAGTGCTCTAAATCAATATCACCCCAACAATTTGTTTAGTTTTGGTCACAGTGCAGCTGTTGAAACAGCTTGCACTCAGCCTGCATGTGCTGCCTCTGATTTTATGAAAATTATATTTTTTGATATCATCATGCTGATTTGTCAAATTTAGCTGACTTTGATGACAAACCTCTTGGTTTTGCGACATCTTTGGGAAACTCCAGGAGAGAGGGTGCTTTGCTGGATATTGATTGATTTTCCTTTTTCTTTTTTTGTAAATGAATTTTCAGATTCCCAAAGGTCTGTTGGAGGAGATTGAAGCAGCAGAGGAGTGTTTTAAAAAGGGAAGCGTGAGTTGTTTTTAAGCAAACCAAACCTGGTGTAGTTATCAATTGACGGAATAAATTGTCCTCTGTCAATTAACATGTATATGACTTTGTAAAGCCATGAAAAAAATGTTGATTTGTTGCTATAACTTTAATGCTTGGGGCCGGACTGTTGGAAGGGTGGATAATGCTATCCAACTGATAAATCCCTATCCAGCAGATAAGTATAACAAAACACACTGCATTATCGATACTGAGCCATCCAGTGGGTAGTGATTTATCCAGTGGAAAGCGTTATCCACCCTTAGAACTACAGGGACCAGTTATAAAATATTTAGAAAGATGTAAAATTGGTCAAAAATTTTGGTCTGGGCTAAGTGACCTAAATATGAGTCATCTGTAAGGATTCAAACCCTCAGCGGTACAGATGTAAAGATTGAGGGCCAGTTACTTCCAGGAGGTACAACCCAAACCATGGTTTTACCTATTATCAGTGGACTTCGGGTTTTCTCTACAAGAGGGTTCATTTAATGAAATAGTTGTCTCTCCACTGTTAGCTTTTGGCTCTCTTGACACTGTTCACAAAAATAAATGTTTAGACTAAAGGTTCAGCTAAACTGAGGATCGTTTAGGAAGCAGTTTTGTTATTTAAGTTGTGGTTAAACTTCGAATAATCAGCGCAAAGTACTCTTAATTAATGTTGACAGCCTCCATATGGGTGCAATTCAATTTCAAGACATTCTACAGTATGTGACTTTACAATTCCTTTACACCTCCCACTTCCAGGAGTGACTGACAAATAATTTCTTCCCACCGTTTAACAATTATTCACTGACAGAAGTGAGGGTGAATAGTGGTGGATATTTACTAAGCCGCAAAGCAGTTAGGTAGATATCCCCCAATTTCACCAGCACTAAGGTGAATAATCAGAACTCAAAATAAAAGCTGTTCAACAAATATTACAAGTGTGTCAGGTCAAATGAAGGTTTTGTCCGTCAAATTCTTGTACAGGCAGACATTTTGTTTGGTAATTTTTGCCTGTATGGGGAAAAATTAATTCCAATGTACAGTGTAAGTTCAGGCTTTTAGTACTGCTGTATTGGGACAGAGGGATTTATCAAGACATGGATATTTTTCTGGCCAAAAATGGGTTGTGTCTTGAGCAAAAATAGGTTTGACTAGACAGCTTGACTGATTCCATCTGGGAAATTATTTCAAGCCTTTTGGTTGTTTTTAGTTTGTACTTTCCACTCAGAAACCAATAATTCAAATGCTAGTTTATTTGTGTTAGCATACCGAGAAATGACCCAACATTAAAGTTTGACTTGCTATTTTGTTTCTTGGCTGCTCAGAGGTAAACTTGCTAATCATGTCTGAACTCCATGAGCACAATTTGTAAAAGGGCCAGAAGTATTGAGAATCCATCACCATTCTCTTTTTCCTGACCAGAAAACTTTCACACCCAAAAACTACTTGTTACTAAAATATGGTGTCTCTCCTTTAGACATGCTGTTAAGAAATACGGTCCTGTAACATTCCACATAATGTCAGGAAATTTTGATAAATGTCAAATGTAATTTTTTTTCTTTCCACAGGAGGAACTGCCAGTTACTCGCACATTTTGTCAGCAAATGGACCGATCATCTCATAAACAAGCTGTCCAACAAACTACAACAGATGCTTTGGTGCAACTCTACAATCATGTCATTGACCTTCCTGATGGACCTGTTAGGCAGAAGTTCTTACAAAGGGTTCGAAAATTTTGTTTTTTTGTTTGAGGTGTGGCTCAAAATTTAGTTAGGGACTGAACAGAGGAACAATTACCCTCTGATGAAAATTGCTTCATCAGAAGAGTCATTTTTGTGCCTCAGGAGGTTTTGCTATCACAAATCCGGGGTGTCCTGCTATTATAAGTTTTTCTTAAAAGTAAATTCATGCAAAGATAGGATTTTATCTCCTGTGGCACTTGTGGTCTTTTAGGACAATGCCCCTGCCAACGCTCTGCTCACTTAGCTGTCTTAGTTTGAAAATCAATTAATCAAAAACACTTTCTTCTGTATATTCTATGATGTACAATATTCAGGACTTTGTGAGCTTAATTTTTTGGGGGGCTTTTTTCTAACATTTCTGTCCCATTAAGATGTTTCCGTGTCATCTACACCAATATGCCATAGGAGTTACATAAAGAAACCCATCTCTTCGTTCAAAATTCCAGTTTCTCGTTATGTCTCGTTCAGCAGACCTTTTTCTTCCGTCGTCACTGAAAAAAACGTTTGGGTTTAGAGAGTTTCGTGTAAATGCGATGAATAAACTGCTGGAGCTACGCGCTCACGGTGTATCTCGCCGTACGGGCCAAGCTTGGTCTTACTGTTGGACGAGAAGAGATTGGAAACAGATGGGGTGTGGCATGCAGGTGTTTTGACTTCAAGAGAACTGAACGATTGCAACTAGTCCATCAGGAAAAACTGGAGATTTTATTGCAGGCGGAAGTTGGGCCCGAAACACGCCATTCTTGATAATATAACGTTATTGCTGTTCCTGATAGGAACACGAAAATCTTGTCTAAACGTAAAACTTTGTGTCATAGTTAGCTGTGATCGTATTCCATCAAAAGAACGAAGAACCCACTGAAATTTGCTTCGCTGCCGACATGTGGCTGCGAACAGCTAAGTGGGAAGTAAGGATCAACACATGTCTTAAAGGCAAGGTTGATTGCAGTTCAATTACGAGAACGATTTCTTTAGTTGTAAACCTACGTGTAGAGCGTTGGTCACGTTTACCCTCGCTAGAGAAAATATATTTTGACCCAACGTTTGTTCTCCAGAGTCAGTTCTATATGTCCCAGAGTTGCTTGATGGAGAGACATTCTCTAGGGCTTGGGGATTTTACTTTATATTCTTGATAAAACTTGGCTGCTCTTGTTTATCGTAGTTGAAGATGAACATA